TGTTTCTGTTTTTATTACCTGCCTTAGAACTGCAGATGTAAATTGGCATTCTTGCTAAACTCTGGCATGTTCATATCTTGTGTTTTTATACTGATGTTCATTAATGTGCTCTGGCCCTGGCAAATAAACAAATAAAGGAAAGATATCGATATAGAATAAGTGAATGAAGATGACCTGTTTTATGAGTATAAATCTGGATTCCTAGACTTCCTGGTCTTTGGGTCACTACACAGTATTTAGAATTATTTATACTTCATGTATAAATAAATCATTAATTAAAACTATAGAGTAAAGAACAAAAACCTTCTTGTTATAAAGGCTATGTGTGTCCGTATCTTTCTTTCCTTCTGTTTGTTAAAGCCATGCCTGAAGCCTCTGCACTACATGAGAAGGGTCAGCAAACTAGTTCTTGATTCACCTGAGGCTGAGCTGATGTTTTAAGTAAAGGAATACACAACCTTGGTACCTATGCATCTTAGAGTTCAAGAAAGTTATTAAAATGACCATGTTTCCTAATAATAATAGTAATAATAACTGCTTGCAAGCAAGTATAATAGGGTCCAGTCTCCCCATGCAATTCAGAACTGAATGCTCACTGAACCAAGCCAAGAGCATTGTTAAATAAGGCTTAAATATGTGGTTAAAGGCTCAGAGAAACTAGTGGCGTACACTGAATAAATAGTGTCCTTGCACTGTGCAGTAGGAAGTTATTCTCCAGCTTGTTGAATGGTGTCGTTGCTTAATGCAAAACTGAATTCTGGTTTAAAATTCAAAGTGTGGCAAGGATGGGACATTAGTATTTATTGTGTGTTTTTTATTTTGTCACTCTGTCTCTACCAGGGTTTCTTCAGGAGGACCATCAGACTAAAGCTGGATTATGATAAGTGTGAACGCAACTGCAAAATCCAAAAGAAGAACCGCAACAAGTGCCAGTACTGCCGATTCCACAAGTGCCTCTCTGTGGGCATGTCCCACAATGGTAAGGCCAGCCACCTCCAAATGTAGTGTAACAGTAGTACAAGCAGAGAAGAGTCATAAAGTCAGTTACACAGCACTGGCTAATATTAGCCACAATAAACTACCAGGCCAAGTTAGCAGCAAAATCACTGAGTGTAATAATTTGAGCAAGAGTGTGTTTTATTGCTTACTTTCAGTTAAATGTGTTAGATTATTTTTCTAAAAAAGTTTATACTGCCTATCGCTGTCAATTACTGAAATCGTAATGTCCGGTGAAACACTTTTATAGCAGTGAAAAAAACTTGCAAGTAAGCATGCAGTTACATAAAACGTCCTCAGCCGACATTACAGTATGTGTTCTGTACAGCAACAGCAGGAGTCCCTCTGTGATTTGGCTCCAGTTCAGTCTGCTTTACATTGACTGGGTTTTTATAGAACAGTGTACTGGTGGAGCCTGCTTGACACTGAGAGAACACAGGCCCATATAGCTCCACATCTGGCCTGTCATCTGCACTGACTGCTGAGGGGTCATTGGGTTTGTTACGATGGCCTCCCACTGCAGACAGAACAGTGTAAGAAACCTGAGAGGCAGACGACATGTTGTCCTCTGAGGAGGGGAAGGAATGTCGAATGTGGGTGAATGTTTGTGTGTGTTTTTCTGCACACGCATGCATGTTTGCTCTAGCCGTAAATATGTCTCTGTATGTAGTTTCACTGTAAAATAAGACCAATTGAAAACTGTTGTAGCTGCCGCTAATGATGAATGTTTCTATGCACCAGCTATCCGGTTTGGTCGGATGCCTCAGGCGGAGAAGCTAAAGCTGAAGGCAGAGAGCAAGATGGTGGAGAAAGAGGTGGCAAGCCCCATGCTGGACGACCACAAGATTCTGGTCAGGCAGATCCATGAAGCCTACATGAAGAACTTCAACATGAACAAGGCGAAAGCTCGGCTCATACTCACCGGAAAGACAAGCAAGCCGGTAAAGGGAAAAAAAAAAAAGCTTAGAACAAAACGTATTCTTTATTCTGTATCTTCACCTGACAGCATCCTCCGCTCTGTCTTTCCCCAGCAGCCTTTCATCATTCACGACATGGAGACGTTCCAGCTGGCAGAGAGGACGCTAGCGGCCCATATGGTAAATGGTGACTATCCGGAGCCCGAGAGCGGCCTTCAAGGTGGGGAGGTGGTTCCGGCTGGGGGGTGTGTGGAGCTCCAGCAGAGGAAGGCTGAAGCCAGGCTCTTCCACTGCTGCCAGAGTACCTCGGTGGAGACGGTCACTGAGCTGACGGAGTTCGCCAAGGCGGTGCCAGGTTTCCAGAGCCTGGATCTGAATGACCAGGTGGGTTCAGAGCTGTTGTGTCTGTCATTTGCCCTCCTGTCAGCCCATGTGATAAGTGCGGCTTTTACTTAAATGTGAAAAAGGAGTTAGAGACACAAAAAACACACATCTGACCACATGCTCCTGGCCTTCCTACCTGCCCGTTTAGGTGACTCTCTTGAAGTACGGCGTTTACGAAGCCCTCTTCACCCTCCTGGCTTCCTGCATGAACAAAGATGGCCTCCTGGTGGCCCGTGGTGGAGGCTTCATCACCCGAGAGTTTCTCAAGAGCCTCCGGCGGCCATTTAGCGACATGATGGAGCCCAAATTCCAGTTTGCCACACGCTTCAACTCCCTGGAGCTGGATGACAGTGACCTGGCCCTTTTTGTGGCTGCCATTATCTGCTGTGGAGGTAACTGACATCATGTGGGGATTTATGTTTAATTCTGTTCAAAAATGTGTAAAAAATGAATCCCCCCTTTTCTCACCCTTCTTCTTTCTCCCTCTATTTGATACCTTCCCTCCAGATCGCCCAGGCCTGGTGGACGTGCCTCTAGTGGAACAGCTGCAGGAAAGCCTCGTTCAGGCACTACGGCTCCACCTGCTGGCCAACCACCCGGACGACAACTTCCTCTTCCCCAGACTGCTGCAGAAACTGGCCGACCTCCGGGAGCTGGTCACCGAGCATGCTCAGTTGGTGCAGGAAATCAAGACAACAGAGGACACGTCGCTGCACCCGCTCCTGCAAGAGATATATAGGGACATGTACTGAGCACATAACACATGGTCATGAACAAGGACATGTATTTGCATGCCATTCAAGCATGCATATCATGGATATCGGTGTACTGTGAGTAGATTATTGTGCAGCTTTTGCGGATGCACGCTGCTGTAATCTACAGAGGTTGCATTGAGACCATGTGACTTTCTACTGGAACAAAAACAAAATGTTTGGGAAAGGCAGCTCTTGTAGGTGGTGTGACTGCTTCCATGAAAGGGGGACACGGTGGGGAACAGACTTTTTGATCTTACACCATAGATGTGTACAGGTATTTGCTTAAATGCATTTGACCTTGGAGCACCCAATCGCTATGGATTGGGTCCTGGATGCCGGCTTTTACTCGACAGACACAAGTACTGAACAAAAGCTAAAGAGGGAGTAGGCTATGCAAATTTGCATATAAATAAAAATGGCAGTAAGTTGAGTTGTGGTGCTAAGAAGCAGACAAGTTAGAGAAGTTAGAGAAGTTATAACATTTTTAACCTCTGAGGCAACTGAAATGTTTCTTGTGCAAAAGATGCCATAATTCAATACATATTCCTAATATTTTGGATATTCAGTGTAAATGATCATTTATCATTTGGACTTAATATGGTTGTCATGTCCTTTTATTGTGTACTAGTGCCTTATTATATTTTCCTTGACCATTTTTAGATGAGTGGTTGAAGAAACACCGGCATCAGTATTCACCAAGTGCCATAATGTCTCAGTGCCTGAGCTCATGTTTTCTTTATTTTGACCACAGATACCTTCAATAGAGTAGCATTTTTAACCATTGAGTAGGTGTATAACTATTTAGTATTGGACCAGGGAATGTTCTTACATATTAAATTGCGAATAATAGTGCATTTTAAGTAGGCAGTGAAGTAAAGGGAGCCTTACTTCTACTATAAGCAACCATCATTTGAATATGTACTTCCATGTGTTATGTATTTATTTTAATCCTGCATTCTACTGTTAAAACCTGACACAACATGATAGCTCATCTAACCTATTTCTTTCAGATCAGTGTTACTGCCATCAACACACATTGTTTTCAAGTAAAAAAAAAAAGTGCATTGGCCAGTATTGAATATTTTGACCACAAACACAATTATCTGTTAAGCTGGTTTTCGTTCTATTTTGTAAATATAACAAGAATATGGTGACCACAGTAAAAGGGATGTGTGTATGTGCAAACAGTAAAAAATAGACCTCGAAAAGACATTTGCTGTGCTGAGACTTCACCTCCCAATGTAGCACTGAAACGTTATTTCCTATGATGAAACGGTTTATATTTTTTATTGTTTTAAAAAATGCATTTGCTGTTTCAGTAAAAGGAATCGTGTTATGTGGTAGCCTAAAATAAACTAATATATTTTACTGAGTTTTATTTGCATTGCCTTGGCTTATTTATCTGCCTATGATGCCAGTATTATCTGTTTCTCTTATTCAGACCCCACTGTTCAAATAAATCAGCTAACAGGCCTTTTTCACTGCAGATATTCTGAGTTGCGTAGCAGGAGAAGCACAGGTGGAATTAATGTTAATCATAGCTTGTGTCCCATTAAATCATTATATTATTATTACATCTGGGCTTTTCCTTTAATCACATGTTGAAGTATCTGCTGTAATAAAAACCATATATATATATATTATTAATACATATTATATATATTTTTTGAGAATGACCCATGACATTAATTTAGGTTAGTTTACTATGCTTTCATATAAATGTACAAATATCTATCAACATGCATTAGTAATACTGTGAAACTCACAGGTTGCCTATACATTTGTTAATAAATAATAGTTAAATTAAGGTGAATTAGCTATGGTACTTAGAATCTTTCGATATTTTTGTAATTAAATAATTATAATTGTATAACTATATTGAACTATACACTGTTCTATATTATACGATACGCTGTTCTGCTCCCCCAGTCCAGTAGGTGGCGGTAAAACTTCATGAAACAACATGGCTGCACTGGACACGAAAACCAGGAACAACTTTTGTTCCCCTTCGCTCCTGAACAATGGAGCACACTACAAGTGAAGCCCCTCAGAAAACATTTACTTGCCAGTTGTGTGGTTTAAGTAGCCCTTTTACTTACTACGGCCAGAAACCACCAAACACCAGAGCCATTGTGTAAGTGAACAAAAACGCTCCGTTGCTAAGCGCTTTGGAGCTAGCTATGCTAAAGCTAATGTTGTTAGCAGCTACGTGTAAAAAATAAATAAATAAATAAAAAAAAGCGAAATTCACCTCTCGCTACTTGCGCGTTGAATTTACAGCCATTTATCTTCTGTGAGCCACATGTATATAAGTTAAAAGAAAATACAATTGAGCGTTAATGTGCCTTTCTTTCGTCCATCAGGTTGCTTGAGGAGTGTTTTGTGACCAGGGATCCCTTCAGTCCTGACAGGGAGAAGTTTCTAGTTTTGGGCTCCAGCTGCAGCCTGTGCAGCGTGTGTGTCTGTGCTGGATCGGTGAGATGTCCTTAATAATTCAACTGCTGCTATCAAATACAAATGTGAAATATGTAATTCAAGTTTTCTCATGAATGATTTAGGCCCAGTGCACAAGTGTTGGCATGCTTCCTCCTGGGGGGACAAATGACAGCAGTCCTGATAAAGAGTGTGTGAGTCTGTTACATGTAGCAGAGGGCAGATGTTGAGTGTGTGTACTCCTGCACTCAAAATGCAACTGTGAAAATGTGTAACTGCAGTGTTTTGGGACAGAAAATGTAACATTGTGAGCATGGTCATCGGTTAAAGCTTCATTTGGAAACCAGGCTGTGCTCCTGTGACAGTTTTCCACTTGGTATTAAAGTTAACCGTGTAAATGACTGGTGAAAAAAAACATGCATCTGTGAGGTTTTCCTCAGATGACTCTGTAATCATGTGGCATATATATATATATATATATATATATATATATATATATATATATGTGCGCAGTGAGATTCATAACTGTGATGCCCTTAAAATCAATTAATCTGCTTACACAAATATATATTTTGAAAATATATCAGTGTGACTAGGCATAATCCAGTGTTTATGTGAAATCTTGCTGTCTCTTCTTCTCAGGACTGCAGTCTTTTCTACACCAAGAGGTTCTGCATGCAGTGTGTGAACAAGCACCTGGACCAGTTCCCCCAACAGATTCAAGCTGAGCTGGCCAAGAAGAAGCAGAGCTCCAAGTCTGCCGTCTCCTGACGTCGGTCAAGAGGTCCATAACCTGCTCACCGATAGAAGAGAGAAATGTCTGAATGTGACCAGGTGCTTTGCCAGAACTCTTTTTTTTTTTTTATCGAACCCATACTGGACCACCACAGCAAAAACCCCAACATCCTGTAATTTAATAGCATAGCTCTGGGTTATTATTATTTGGGTAGGAAATTAACACCGCACATCAGAAATAGGCTAGTTTATGTTTAAGCTGCCGTATTAGCCTACAGGGTGTTGTTTGCTTATTGTTTATTTGTTTCTACAGAGGTTTATAGAAGCGAGCAACGGGTGTGACTAGTGTTGCCGGACTCCTGTGGGATTGTGGTTGCAGGCTCAGAATCAGACCCGCTGGTTTGTAGCAATTAAAAATGGCTCATAATTTAAAATCTGATGTCGTGCACTGTATGTGTTTTTCTTTCTTTCTTTCTTTTTTTTAAACAAAACAACAACAGCGTATATAATGTTATGAACAGTATTAAAATGATTGCTAATGTCTGCTTGTTCAGCCCAATTCAGCAACCCGGTGCTTTTACACACCGTTCAACACATTGTATTATATTTTTATAACTGACTCAAAAAAAGATGTACAAGTAATAGCATTTTTCAAGATCGGTTGCTAGGTAGATTAAAACTGCCCTTGCAATGTAAAGACAATTAATAGGTTAAACAATTTCTCTTTGTAGTTGATGGATTATGCCTGTTGTGCCATATTTGAATGCCTCCTTTTATGAGAAAACACATTTTTATTACTTTTCAGCAACACATGGTAACAATAACATTTATATGACTAATTCCTTAACTATAGACACATGTTTGTGTTGACATTGACACCTCCTATTAAAGAGTGCATCACTGTTTTCCTTTTCCTCTGTGCATCCACGGTGAGCGGATACATGGTTGACTTCTGTGGAGTCAAAAAACATGTTTTTCTGTACTATCTTAAACTATAAAGAGACACATACCGTGACCTTTCTCTGTTGTTTTATGACTGTTTAATTGTGGATCATAATGTGTAACTAACTAATCTGCTACAGTATCATCTACCAGTGTTTTCCTCTGAAGCCAGGAGAATGAGACCTAATATTTCCAAAAAAAAAAGAATTACACTTAAGGCATTGGTTATGCATCTGTGACCTAAACAAAATGTTCTCTTGCTTCATTTCTCAATTGCCCGTCTAATCAGTTGGATCAGAATCTGTTTTCATCTTAGGGATCACTCTGTACAACACGGCGCACAGTTTGTAGCAGCATAAACACATTATGGATTAAGTGTGATCTCGGCGATAACATCGATATAACAGATGGCCTCGCTGTATTCATCACGAGATGTTTGACTCTTTTCAACGGTTAATTGAAACAGCATGGCCTTAAAGGCAGGCCCAGTGATTTTCGCTGGCAAATGCTGCAGAGGAATGCAGAGCGACGTTCGCTGCAGAGTTGAAGTTGGGACATTGAGAACTCCTGTACACAAGGAGTGCTTACTATTGCTGATGCATTCACTCAATTACTACAGGATTCCTATGCAGCTCCGGGATGCACAGAAAATAAATCCAATCACGACATGAACGCCAGTTAAATTCTTCAGTAAGGAATTTTTAAGAAGCAAAATGAGAATCCCCCCAAAGGGAAATGTAGGTGAATTTCAGGGTCTTTTTCCTACTTTTTCTTTCTTTCTTTTATTTTTTTTTTAAAGCTGCACCACTTTCTGTTTGTTTTGTGTTTTAAATTCTAAGCACACACAAGCAATTACAACCAGTGAAGCACACTAACCACCCTGTGGCACCAGTGACAAATTCTGACAGAGATAGGCAGCATGTTAATGATGACGGAAGGCTTTTCTGCTCTGGAGCTGATGTCATTGTGTGCCAGGAGGCAGATTTGTGGCTATTTTGCTGTTTTCCTGCATAAAAACCTCCCTGTAGTGTCTCATTGTCCTTCAATAACCTTGAAACTGCAACTGAAAGGATTTACACTGATTGAATCAAGTGTGCCTAAGCAGTTTATGTGACACCAAATCAGATCAGGCTGCAGCGATGTCTGTCAGCATTCATACGATCATTTGATGATTGATTCCTATGATAGTATTACCAGCCTGGAGCAAGGCCTTGGACTAAAACCTCCTACGGGGGGATCAATCCGTTTCCAGTGTTGTTGTTTTATCAGGTTTTTATCCAGCTCATCTTACAGTGCATGAATTCAGCATACAAATAACAGTTAATGAGATCAAATGATATCTATGACCTTTGGGTGTTTGGTTAAATGTCTAATCTGATATGTGCTCCGATAAATAAGGTGCTAATGGAAAGATAAAACACATCACGCACTCCTCTGTAACCACAATCTCTCTTCCTTTCGCTCTTTCTTGTGTGTTTAACTAATGAAACAGATGAATTAGGCCATATTCATGTGTAGAGTTAATCCAATCCAGCTCTGTGTTGTTGTTGCCCCTGTTCGACTTTAAGAGAGCTCTTTGGGCGGTCCTAATGCGCAGACCAATGAATCGCCTTCTTCGTTTAAATAGACCTTGATGTTAACTTCTTCACTCACATCGCTCTCCAACGCCATGTTGCCTGTTTTGACTTAACTTGTTTTCATCAGCATTTACTACGGACTTGACAGGAGTGGCTTTCTTAAACCCCCCTTGCGCCTTTGGAGACTCTTTATTCCACTTCTGCGCGTACGCGTTTTGGATGATACGCGCGGAGTACGCATGCATCATCCCCGTGACTTTGCATTTGGGAGGAATACTACTTGGAAATAGAAGTTTGAAAGGGTTTGGTTGTTGTTTGTGTATTTTTTTTTTGCCCACCCTCCCCGCCCCTTGTCATATGTGCAACAAAATGTCAGATGTTCGCCTTTCTAATGCGAGCCCGACAGTGGAGAGGGTGGATGCGCGGCAGCCGGACAACGTCAGACCTCCGGTTCGCAGAAACCTTTTCGGCTCACCTGACCGAGAGGAGCTACGGAGGTATTTTGCGGATTCGATTGAGGAAGGCGTGCGGGATTTTAAGGATGAGTATAATTTCGATCCAGTCAACGACAGACCGCTCTCTCCGCGCAACTACGAATGGCAGGAGGACCGCGACCCAGCGGAGTTTTTTCTCAGACCGCCTCACGGGAGCCAGCGGCCCGGAGAGGAACACCGGCAGGACGCCGAGGAGAGCGGTGCAAGGCGGTCGGGTCGCCAGCCGGAGAGAGGCGGCTCGAGGAAAAGAGGCTCGGGAGCTTCAGGTGATTCACTTTAACTTATTAAGGCTGTGTCGCGCTGCCGCAATGCAGAGGCGCGAAGCAACAGTTGTGTCCGGGGTTCGACCGTAAGGCTGCGCGGATCTCCGTGCAAAGCAGGCAGACGTGTGCCGGAGAGGCTGTGCAGACGATACAGTAATGTGATCTGTTATTATGAGCGACCATGTAATGCACACGTCGCGCTTATTACATCGCAATTAGCACATTTTCATAAGTCGGGTTCGGTTGTAACATTTCTCCGCGCCCCTCTCCGGGGATGGCAGGTGCCTTTCTTTTTTTTTTTAAGTGGACGTGCAGCTCCGCACACACTCACACACTCCCCTGACAACTTTATTGTGTTCTGCCAGGTCCCTGCTCCAGCGAGTGTCAGAGTAAAAGGTCGCATACCGACGGAGACGACGATGAAGACTATTCGGACGGTGCAGCAAGTCAGGCTGTGGTGAAAAGCGCTGAGGAGAGACCGAGCAGGGCGGAGAACAGCGCCGAGGTCCAGTGAAAAACAGTGCCAGGTTAGAAATCATTACCTCACTATTCCACTGTTATGAGCGAGTATGGATGGGTAACAGCATGCATGTTTTCTATGTGTGAAACACCAAGCATCGGCTCTTATATAGGATGGCAGTAGTAGTTGTGTGTGTGTGTGCTTGTTTATCAACAGCGTCAGTAACGCATTCACAACAGCTGTAAACACATTTATTTCCTGCACGTCATCAGCCCTTCAAACTTGCATATTGTTTTTTTTTTTTTTTTTTTTTTTTTGCATGCTATGACTGTTCAGCCTCTGCGTGTCTGCAGGAGGGATATCAAGCATGAGCAACTGCTTTTTCAATTGCACCATTCAACAGCCTGTTTCCTCTTTGTGCCCCACAGAGCGGGGAGACCTGTTGCTGGTGGAATACTGTAGCCTTTCTCGTCACCTGACAGATGGGGAGAAAATATAAAAGCAGCCTTTTCCTAAAGAAGGGAGGAGGAGAGGCTTGCACAAGCACTGAATATGTACACTATCAAGTTTTGGCACTCATTTCAATTAAATTGCCTCAGAAGCAGCAGACAATGTAGCAGTGTGCAAATGGATTTTTGCTCATTTTTTTATCTACTACCTATGTTTCAGATGTAGCACATAAAAAAAAAAGCATATTATGCTTTTCATACCTTTTTTTTGTTAAATGTATTTGAATAAGTGTGTGAATTTGACTCGGGAAGTTGCAGTGCAATTTCCAACAGAGAAATATTATTTTGTTGTGGTCATATTGTGTCATTATTCAGGTAATTGATGTAAGTTAAAAATGCAGATTACAAAAGTCAGGGTTATGTGGAAACAAAATGTCTTCTTTGTCTTTCTTTTTTTTTTATGGCTTTATTTGTCCCAGTGTTATATATCTTGTTGTTGAAGGCCCAGATGGCCACACTGTAAGTTGAGGGTCCATCTAACTGGGAACAGCCATGACAGATAAAGTTTACATGCAAATAATGTCTCCTTATTTCCCCATTTTTATTTCATTTTAAAAAATTTTTTAAAGGGGTTTTTGCCAAAGTTTGTGCCTTTTTGTTCTGGGGTTGAGGGGGTGGGGTGGGAGGGTTTTAAACTGCTGAGCAATATCCAACCAAATTTTAACTATTCGCTAATAATCCTAAGAATTAGCTTTTATTTTTAAATTAGGTGAGTTAATATTTTAGTGGCTTCTAGGTCACATATCCCGCCCATTGTAATAAGTGGTGTAGTCCAGGTGAACATAGATCAAATATGTTAAAACCAGTGGGCTACTTATGCAAATATGTGAATCAAAGATTTGTGGTGTGGAATTCATGTGGAACATGTAATTGCACTATTGTTAATTTCTCTTTATATTTTATTTTTTTGAGGGCAGAAAAACAAAGTGACACTGCCTCATTTGGTGTAAAACTTTGAAGTGTACCTGTTTGCCTTTTTTTTTTTTTTTTTTTTTGAAAAACACTGAAAAAATTATACTAACTTATTTATGTTGAGCTTTTTGTTGTGGGTGTATGTACAGCTTCCCAAAGTGACATTTTTGTAAATATATATTTTCATTATTGTTTTTAAGATAAATAAACTGTTGCAAAACTGAGCCTAATAATCGATTTTATATACAGTGTTTTGTATTTTTTTCCCTGTTCTTCAATCTGCAGTTTGATTGATTAAAAAGCAATGTTGGTGTAATTAATGCATATGCTCACTATTTTGATTGCACAGCACACAAGCACTCCACCCTTACCAAACACATTTAAAGTTTAAAGTGATCCGCCCATGTAAACTGATGGAGACACAGCCATGTTATTAATGTGTCCTTTAGACATTGCAGTGATAGGATCGCTAGCTTTACCATAATTTATCAACAGTCTAAAGAATAATAAATAACATTACAAAGAAATGTAATGTCTGTCATGCTGTATAATAAGGTTTTAGTGACCTTACTGTATTTACATGTTTTTAAATAATAAATCAGTTTCTGTAGGAACCTGACTAGCAAAGAATTTGTACAACAGTCTCATAATTTACCACTATTTCCTATGGTGCTAAAGCTGTACCAGTAATATTTGATACAATAAATAACATTGTGTGTGTTGCTAGACTAAAATCCAGCACACAGTGTCCATCTTGAGTGCAGATACAGCACCAGAGTAGAGGCCATGACTGTGCTGGCTGGTCTCAGCGCAGCTCTGCCTCTTAAGTTGAAAACAACAAGGGTAGGTCCTGAGGAAAAGAGGGGGAAAAAAAAGTTTTAGGTTATTGGCTTTCCCTGGCTCCAATCACAGCAGAGACGAAAAGCAGACCACTTAGGAGCCAGCCAGTCAGAGAGTTGTGGGAGGGCACTCACTCAGGACAGCACAGGCTGTTCTTTTCATAAAACACACACCACCCAATTAGTTTCATTGGCTGCCTCTTTCCTGTTGATACCAGCATATAGGAGTCAAATGCAGAGTGAGTGAGAGAGAGAGATATTCCTATAATATCTCATACTGGCTGTGTGTGAAGTAATTACTAGTGAGCTCATGGCCTTTCTGTAAACGTTTGGAGAGGATTGTAACACTTTTGAACACATTGCTGCTCTCCTGTTTGACAGTATTTTGTATTTGTTACTTTTTAACACAAGAAATGTCAGATAAGATTTATCATGTTTAAATTCATCAGCATTATCACAATGCTGTCTTGAAATGTAATGCAAACATGTTTTCATAAAGAAAATCCATAATCACTTCCACTTTCAGGAAGTTTTCAGTCCTAGTAGTTTGTGTGCCAGAACCCAGTCCTGTGTTTTTGTTCTGTGTTTTACTTAATAGATTTCAATCAAATTTGGTGAAAACAAATCATTACTTTTTTATGCTGATCTGGGTACAATAGCGCCACCATGTGGCAGTTTGTAAAGCACTTGGTGTTTGCATCAAAACTGATCTGGGAAGTGTGGAAATAGTTTTTGAAGGAAACTTTGGTTAAAGAAGTTTCTGTACGGACGTATCCACGCCCATTTCCACTTAAACATAGGTTGTCATTTTTATTTTTTACCATTAATTCAACATTCTCCAAATGTGTTACACAACAAATGTGGATCAGCATAAAAAAAATTTGATTTGTTTATTCAAATGCTTCATGCCTTTAACCTGTTATTAAAGGCATAACCTACTTGGCATAAATGCAACAACTTAGATTATTTCTGCCCACATCAACTGCCTGATCATTTGTAATTCTACTGACGGCTTTGTCCTATAGCTGAGACAACAGCTACATGACACATATAGAGAGAAATCTGGTATTTACCAACCTGGGTGCTGGGTCTCGTATTTTTGTCCATTATGGCTATTGGTCATGATAGTAATTTACTCACCACCTTCACTACAGAGATTGGGAAACACAGATTCTTAAAAGAATCAAGTTGATCAGGACAAGGAGCGCAGTTTTCCAAAAACATTAATTTAATTTAGTGGCTTTGAGACATAGCTTTTACAGTAATACACCAAGTGCAACTTCAACTAGTAAAGCATAATTAGCATAAACTAATAATTTGCAATCAGAGTGTGCCAACGTATGTCCAAATGTATGCTGATGACATTGTAATATGTAATAGGAGCGGCTGTGGCTCAGAGGCAGAGCGGATTGTCCCCTAATCGGAAGGTTGTTGGTTCGATCCCCGGCTCCTCCTGCCACATGTCGAAGTATCCTTAAGCAAGATACTGAACCCCAAATGTGTATGAATGAGTTAGTTTCTGTTCGATGGACTTTGCCATCGCTGTGTGAAAGGGTGAATGTGGCACGTAGTGTAAAAGCACTTTGAGTGGTCGGAAGAGTAGAAAGGCGCTATACAAGTACAGGTCCATTTACCATAATATGTGCACATAGTAGAACTGAAACTGAAGTTGCTTACTAACTCACAACCAACACATTTTATCTAAGGCTGAATCACTGTTGTCTGTATAGCTTTGTTTTTTAGCAGCACCTCTGCTGTGGGAGGCAACAGTTTTGAATCAGGAGAAGGGTTACAGGTTGCAACTGAACTTAAAGGGAATAATTTAACAGAAAGTCACTGCTGTCAGCCAAGAAACAGTCCAGCACATAACCCCCTGTAAAACATTTAGCAACATGTTGTTTTTACACATTGTCTTTGTGCAGATTAAACAGATATTACATGTTACAGTGAACCTTGGAGGTGTTAGGCAAATGTGTTACCTTGAGATAGTGCGAGGCTAACTGCTTACAGGCTAACTCTCTGCAAGGAAGTTAAAGACACACTATGCAAGATTTGTACCTTAATATAACAGCTTCAAAGTCATTTCGATGGTAAACAAACTTGTGGTATAGTGAATCATCCCGATAGCAAAGCAGGAGAGGGACGCCGTTGGCAGAACCAGCAATGCAAGTCTGAAGGTGGCGCCCCGCCGAATCTCGCGAGAATCACAAATTGCTTTACAGTGCGACGTGACATACATCAGCGACATAAGAAGCAGTCTCTATGGAAGACACTAGCAGGCATTCACTCAGACGTTACCTGGTCAGTAGACATCTTCAGAGTCTATCTTTGCCTGTTCGATGTCCAAGCTTCCATCCTACTGAACATGTATACAGGGGGGAGGGGATCAGGCCATTAAACCTGTAAATGTCTTCTGTGGAGAACTGTCAAAATTGTTATGTAATGCATTGTTTTTATTAACAGATTAAAACTAATCTTTTGGTGAAGTCTACATTTACAGTATACACACTGACCTTGTAGTTGCATTCAGTCACACCAGTCAGGAATTATGCGCCTTATTGATTTTAAGGAGTGTAAGGAATCTTAAAAATATTACACACAGTAGGCCTAGTTCAGTTCTGGTAATTGAAATGCCAATTGTCTATTCTTTTTCTCAGATTTCCTACTACACTGTAATGAAAACAATACACGGAGCGGAAGCAGTTTCACAAAGTCAAGACAGCTGAGTGTTCAGAATGATCTCCACTACAGGAAATGAATCCTGTACCAAAGCAACGATAATATGACCATTAAGGGTCCAACCTCTCCAATTAAGATCTGGTCTTTTAGGCCTGATAGAGTCAAGAACTTTCAGGTGGTTACATGTCCACTGTCTTGCTAGGTGTCCTCATAAAGGCAAGTGTAGTTCCAGTTTACCCACCCTTTGTTCACCCACACTTCACCTGATAAGACCTCTTCTAAGGGCTGTGTGGGCTTGTACGGACATGACTGATACCTCCCTGATTAGTTTTTTGTCAGGGGCAGGGGGATAAGTTACACCTTTATTACTGATGTTCATCACGTGGCTCTCAACTTCAACCTGAAGAGAGGTCTAATTAGCTGGAACTCAAGTTACCTGAGTGGATGCGCATGAGTCTTTAAAAAGTGCTTTAGCCCATTGTAAGCCTGCAGGCACACCCTTTAGCTCCCACTTTGGGGGAATTTTGCCATTATACTTGAGCTTCAAGCCTAAAAAAAAACACTGACGTTCTGGTGGGATATAAAGGTTTCACCAACAGTATTAAAAGGCAGCTCTTGAAGTAGAGCGGGTGGAACCTTTCAGATAGAACAAAAACAACCCGAAAGGTCCGACAGGAGCGTAAGAGGTAAACCTTTGACCTCAAGGTGGTGCAGGAAGAGAGGCATTAGTCTTACAGTGAGCCATGATGCAGATATGACATCACAGCTTTAAAGAATTTCAGAGAGCTGTGCCAGGCATGACCTCAAAACCACGGCCGATATAGGATGTGTGTTTATGCGTGTGTGTTACCCCAGACTGACCCTGTTCACCATTAAACTATAGCTCGGTGAGAAAAAGACACCCACACACTCACACAAAGCCGCAGCCTCCTGTTGACTTTTACCAGTCGCGCCTACGTTTCAAGAAGTATGAAGAGTTTAATCAGTCCCTGTACACACCGGTTCACTGTGAGCCGTCCTGGGTTCGTGTCCAAGTCAGGAAAACACTTCCATATTTCCAGTGTTAAATTCGCAGGCCCCTAATTGTTGCTGTAGATAACGAGAGGAGAAATGGGTCATAAAAGTCTGACATCTTCGAGCTGACACTATGAATAGATATTCAGCAGAGGGCCTACAGAGCATGAGCTCATAACTTGGCAAACTCCGCTGGGGGGGGAAGGAGTGTTTTTTGTTTTTTTACGAATGTCTTGTTTTATTCTGGAAATACAACTTCCCCATCTGTTTCGTGTTGTTATTAATTTGTCTGATTTTTTTACTTCATTTAAATTTTTTACAAGGGCAGGGTTGCTTTATTTTTCCGCTCCACTCTGCCTCATGGTCATGTGCTCTTGGCAGCAGTGAGAGTAGGAGAGATGAAGTGGAGATAGTTAGGAGGGAAGAAAGAAAAGAAGGAAGCAAGAAAGAAAAAGAAGGAAAGAGGCAGAGAAGGATCGAGTCAAAGGGAGGAAAGAGAAGACGGGCTTTTTGGCTGTGTCTTGCTGCAGCCTGGCCAAATCACGTCCAGTGCAGGATGTAAACAAACTAATCTGCCAATGTGAAGTTTTTACACATTTTTCTTCGCTCTGGACTGTGTGACTCATGCAGCCTGACTGTGTGGCCGCAGAATCTGGCTTGCCTGCAGCTACAATATTAGAGTGTTTAGTTTGCCTTGCAGCAAGACAGTG